GAAAAACGTCAGGTGATGCTCCTGCCTTTCTGGGAGCATGCATTCTTGCGTTCATTCCTGACTTGAAATTCTGCTAAGAGAAATTAGGCCTCGTTTGTTAGTATTTTTAAACAGTTTTCAAACTCCAATACAATGCAACTATTTATTAAAAAAAAAAAAAAAGCCAAGAGGTGGCACCTGAGAGCTTTCAGCTTTTTTAACACCTAGATCTGAAAAAGTAAAGTTTATACAATCCTATTATGTGTAGATATGAATGTGTATACGTACCAGAACTTTTGCTCTGTATGTCAATCAAATTCGATGAAAAGCTGAAAGATATTAGGTTTCTTGGAAGATAAAAAAAAAAAAAAAAGATGGCTGGATCAAGATGCTACTACTATTGTCATTCTTCCTTTTTCACCTATTTCTTTCTTGAGGGAAAGACTGCAGCCTGCCCTCGACCCTTATGTGTGTCAGAGAATCACATGGAGAAAATGCTACAGGAGGAACTTCAGTCACACCAGAGAGTTCAATGATGGGACATGAAACGTTAGGAAATTGGTCTCTTTTCCCAGGTAACGAGTGATAGGACGAGAGGAAACGTCCTCATGTTGCACCAGGGGAGGTTTAGATTGGATATTAGGAAAAATTTCTTCACTGAAAGGGTTGTCAAGCATTGGAACAGGCTGCCCAGGGAAGTGGTTGAGTCACCATCCCTGGAGGTATTTAAAAGATGTGTAGGTGTGGCGCTTAGGGACATGGTTTAGTGGGACTTGACAGTGTTACATTTATGATTCGACTCGATGATCTTAAACATCTTTTCCAACCTAAATGATTCTATGAAAACTGGATTTATTAGTTTAGTCCATTAAAGTACTTATCTTTTTATGGCATGTGTTTTTCTCCATTTCTCCATTCGTGACAGTCAGTATTGATTCTGGCTTCTACTTTTTGAAAACTTCAGTTTGCAATTAATTAACATTCTTCAAATGTAGAGCTCCTTAGGGGTGTGGTGGAGACTTTGCTGCCTAATCCATTACATTTGCTTTTCCATTTCCATTCTCCTCACCTTGCCCATTAGTAACCATTTTTTTGCTTTTTTGCCCAGCCATTCCCATCTCAGTTTCCTTAGTTCTGTCTCATTCATCATTCCCACTTTCTCCAGTTCTCTCTCCCCATTCTATTTCTCTCTTCCCTGCTTTACTGGCCTTCAAGTTGCTATTCTTGCCACGTTTCTCTGTTCTGACTGATTCTTGTGCCAGTCCTTCCCGTCTTTCCTTCCTGCATGTTCCTCATTCAGAGTCATTCTTCCTTGAAATTTCTTTCTTCGAGTTTTCTCTGAGGATCCTTGTTCCAGCCATTTTGACACCGTAGTTTCAGAAGAGTTCCAGTCTTACTTGTCCTCCATTTAGATTGACTTCCTTCATTCTCCATGCTGCCCGGGCCTGATAAAGGGAGGGATAAACTACCTGCTCTTCCTTTTTTTACTAGACTGCACCTGGCATGGGCTCTGACAACTTGGAAGCAGGTGAATCGTTTTGGCAAAAGTATACACAGCTGAAAACAGCGTCTTATGGGCAATCTCAGAAACTGGAAGTTCTAGGAACCAAGCCCAGGACAAACAAACTGGAGCATTTTAGTGCTGAGGGATTTATTTAACATTTTTAAAAGGAGTTTCCATGTGTGTCTGCAAAAATGGGAAAAGAAAGGCGAGGAGAGGAGGGAATAAGAATAAAACTGGGCTAAAACATACCTGAAACTCCCCTGATGGTACTGTTGTTGTGCTGCTTGATGCTGCAGTTGTACTCATAGGGTGGGTCGGATGATCTTGGCATAGAATGATGGTGTTAAAGCTTGCAATTAATTTTACTCCATTTGATTTAAAAAGTAAAAACAACTCAGGTTATTTTTGTTTTGAAAAGCTAAAATGGTAGTGCATGTTGCTTCCTGTTGGTCTTTTAAAAAAATAATCAACTGTCCTTCACATTGGCATTACACGTATATTGAAAAGGATTATGTATACGACACAAATCCACTTTATTTTGCTTTTGAAAAATCTTGTTCTCTTTCTCCAAAAGCTTTCTTTAGTTTATGGTGCTAAAGGATAGTGCCTCTTATTTTCTTTACTCACTTTCGTAATCTTTATAATGCGAGGAAAGTTTGATTGTTTCTTATTATGTTACGATATTAGTGTGAAGATTTGCTTGTGTAATGGCATTACTGACTTCACGGTAGAGTAAGTGCAGTCATATTTAGAAGTAAGTGTCCATCTCCAGTGTTGTATTTGACTGTGACAGCTGTCATGGAATGAGTGACAATTCAGTTGCCAGCCTCGTTTTCTGTCCACCCACTCACAGTATCTGGAAGTTCTTCAGGTTGATTTAGTACACAAGCTTCTCAACCAAAAGCGGTGAAAGTGACCTGGGAAATCAGTAGCATTTTTGTTCCCTCAGCATGTCAGGCATTGGAAGAAGTAACCTAAACCTACATTGTATACTTTTTCCACTCTCATCTTTCTATGCCACTCTGTATTGCTTTTCTTTGGCTTTTTTTTTTAAACTGTATTTTTTCTCTGTACTGTAATAGAAAGCAGATATTTCAGGTATGTGTTAGGCACAATAAAAATGCTTTTCATCTCTCTTCTTGTTCCGATTGGGTTTTTGTGTTTGCATAGTACAGGTACTTAGTGTCAAGATAACAAAAATTGAGTCAGCAGTTTTGGCAGTGGACCTTTCTGTAAGGCGTGAGCTGTACAGCAGTTCTGCCTGTGCTGTATGGTTTATAAACGGTGGATGAAACCCGTAACACCATGGATAGACTTGAACTGAATATGAATAGTATATAGAGGAATGATTTGCCCAGATTTCATGCGAGCTGTCAGATCGCTGTTGGTTTATATTCACTGTTGGTTTATGTTATTTATGTTCACTGCCTTCTTAACTCACTATTTCTGCGCAGAGCAGTTTCATTAGTGGTTGTAAACTTAAGCCAAGTTCTGTATGTGCGCAAATTGTTTACTAGAGCATGGTTGTCCTTTTAAACTGCACTGGGCACATCTGACAGTTTATAAAATACTAGTTGAATTAGCACAAATTCTCAGATGCTAAGAAATTGCTCTGGGGATGACAACTGTACCACTTGAATGTAATTTTGTTATGCAGATGTTATTAGCCAAGCTAGTGTAAAAGGATTCAGGTATTCAACAATTCAATATTCAAACATTTACACTCAAGGGCACTTAGGAATGACATGGAATATAAAGTGAAAATACGCAATTTGATGTTTTCATGCATTATAAAAACAGAAGAGGTCATTATGAGTATAGACCTGCCCACTTCAAAGTTTTGAAGAGGAATTTGGAATTTTGTTCTGAAAAATATTTTCTAAAAGAAGTACAAAGTGACGTGCCCGAGATCACACAGGAAGTCTATAGCACAGTATGATGCTGAACCCAAGGTCTGCCAAAACTTATCTTAGGCCATCCTTCCTGTTAGGGTTTTACATGAGTATATTTATTCTAGAGATTGTATTAGCTGTGTGGGTATAAAAATGGATTTTTATTTCTCTCTTTAACTGTTAACTCCTGTATTTTCAATGCTCATTTTTTGTTTTTAAACAGTAACTAGTAACTTCATCAAAATGTGGGGTTTTTTTTTCCTTTTGTTGTAGACTGATGTTCTACATTGTTCTGTCCAAAGAACTGTGCAAGTCACTTATTTTTCACTAATGTGATGCTGTGAAGACACATTTGAGATCCATTTCTTGTAGTTTTTCTTGTAGCACCCTTAGGTGTCGAAATACTGAAAAGAAACTAACTTGAATAATTTTCACCTAATAAGTAGCTTTTCAAGTGCAGACACAATCAAATGTTAAACCTCTATCTGGTTTATGAACAAGATATTTTTGGTTTGAATCAGTTGTGGCTTTTAGAGGAGAGGGAAAGGCCAGGGATACGCCCATTTTGTCCTGGTAACTTTTTTTTTTTTGTTATGTTTTTCAGCACTCCCAGCTGTAGTTCTTGATGGTCTGTGAGTGCTGTAATGTAAGCACCATAACAGTACAAACAGAAAGTTCTGTGTTTTGCAATGTTCAAAGAATAAAGATGTTGGATAAGTGGTGATGATGAAGCTCATTTGTTTAGCTTCACTCCAATTTGCTGTTCTTGTCAGCAAAATAAAGATTATGGCAAAGACATCAGCTATTATGTTTCATTCCTTAATGTCCTTGCTTCTTGTGGAGGTTGGTCATTTATGGCACTCAGCTGAGAATAGTAGTAAGAACATTTTTATTTTGTATTATCTCTGAAAGCATATGAGATCATGATTTTTCTCCTGTTAAATCAGGTTCATTCCCTGTTAATCACTTTGGCATCTCATGGTTGCAAGAACACAAATTTACAGTCCTCTTTTAAACTGTTGAAATTCAAGGAGAAATTTTTCAGTAAAACAGATCAAACAGTGATCTAATTCTTTCTCATCTCTGGGCCAGACCATTTCTTAGGAGAAAATGCACTGCTAATAGAAAGACTTGCTATTTCATGTGAAACATCTCACACAACAATCTCTTTTTATCATATACTGCTATTACTGGCATGCATGCATACCTTTTATTGAGTTGCACCTGACTTAGGCATGGAAAGCTGCGTCAGTGTCTTTTAGGTGGGAACAGAGTGTTCTCAGTCAGCACAGGAAAGCAAACCAAACACGTCTCCCTACAGCCTGGTAGAGGGTCGTCATGATCCTACAAGGAGCACGGTAAATTATAATTTTCAGTCTTTCCAGAAGGTGCTGCTGTGACATTGTATAAAATCATGGCTTTTACAAGGTAAACGGGGAAAGTCTTTATTCACACGTTTGTTTATTTTACATTTGAGGTTGTTTTATATGATTCTTGGGCATGGATGCTGACATTGGTGCGGCCCATATTTCATCCCTAGTTTCCAAATTACTAAGTACTTTGCCCCATGTTCTTTTTCAAGAAAATTTCTGTTTCAGTCCTTCAAACAATGTTTTCCTTTGTAGGAATCCAGTGCGAAATTGCTGCAAAAGCAGGGATGATTATACAGAGAGTAGTGCTGAATTCACGCCCCGGTAGGTATTCTCTCCAATAAAGGAGCAATGTGTTTGTTACGGTTGCCTAATGCTCCAAAATGGTGAGGGTAAGAAACAGACACTAACTTAAGATACTGACATTTATATATCTTAATATTGCATGCAGCAATAAATAAAGTTTATTGTGAAGTTTATTTATTTAGTCTATATATACAGGTTACTAAACTCTTGGGTGAGAAAAAAAAGGTTAATGCATAATATATGAGAAAACCCTAAGTGTAGGGACTCAAAGTGAAGAAAGATTAGCAAGCATTGCTTTTAGTTCTGACATTTGTTCTTTTTGCTCTTTAAGAGATGACTAAAATAAGGTATTTTGTTATTGTTCATTTTTGTTTCCTTTTAGTAAATATTGAATCTTTTCTGTCTCCCATGTCTCAAAGTGTTTGGTTTTTAAATTTACACTTTTGAGGATCTGTTTATTTCCTTGCTTACACACTTGCCTTGTTACGGATGTCAGCACAATTTTTTGAATAGTGACTTTATAAATTGTCTGTTGTAGAGGACCCACATGTGTGCATTAATTTTTTGGGGGTGTATTGTGTGCTGCTCAGTGCCAAAATAATCCTAAGAGGTAAGAACTATTGTGTGACCTGCAAATAAGTCTTTTCTAATGCAAATCAAATGTTACAGCAGTAGCCTGCTGTAGTCACCCAGTCACTTCAACTTAAAACATACATGGGTATCTGGCACTCTCCTTTTGGTGCCAATGGTTCCAGTGGTCAGTCTGATTGATCTGCTGCATGTGGTACCAACCTGAGGATGAAGCCTCCAGTTCTGGGCTCTTGGCATACATTTTATAGGTGTTTCTGGGAAGCTTTAATTTAAGGAGGTCTATCTGTAGCTGCGAAGGGATGCTCTTGCAGCGTATGCGTGCACAGTGGCAATGGTCTGTATTCCCCCAATCTCACTGAGTCAAAAGAGGCTGAAAGGTGAGAGTTTAAAACTTACCTGGTTAAAATGTATGGTCATTTGCTACTGGCAAAATAGTGCACGATGGTTTTGTTATGTGAGAGAAGTCCCAATGCACGTCTTTGTTTTGAAAGGTAGGGGCTTTTCAGTACATAGGGTATATAGAACCATTTTTTGAGAATGAGAGCAGCCCCCTTTTTTTTTTTTTTTAATTTGTCCTAATTATTCATTAAAATTATACATAGCAAACAGCATGGAAACTGCCAGTCAGTGCAAGTGCCTGGTACTGGCCCAGGTAAGCGATCAGCTTACCTTACTTCCAGACCAGCAGGTCTTCAGTTTGGATGGTGGCAGTGCACCTGTTGTCCCACAAGCGGGGTCCGGTACCCAGTGTGCAATAAGCCAATCGTACACACAGAGCCGAGACATTTATTTAGCTCATGTTTGCGCAAAGGTGGGTGCTAGGTGGTAATTCCACAAAGCTAGCACACCACACAAAAGAACTACAGCGTATTTATATTGTTACATGATTAGTAAAAGCCCACCTAAATTCATGCTCATTGGTTAGTTATGTTCAAATCAGCCTCGTTTGCTATGTAAATTAGCACACATCCTCCTTGCAGGTGGGGGGGGCACATCTTTCCAGTCTTGAATTGAGTTGGTGGTCGCGATCTCCCCGTCGCCTTTACCTTTCCCCTAGTTACCACAGTTTCTTGCTGACTTCTTGGTTTTTTGGCAATCATCTAGCCACCGATGCAGTCTGGGGCAGGATGTTCCCCTTTTATCAGTCTTCTAGTTCTTCTTCAAGGGCATAGTCGTCGTAAGGCGTGCATTGTTTATACAAGGTAATCAGGCTAGAAAAATGAAGACTACAGTCTAGGATAGGTATTAACCCAAACATATGGCTAAACACCCATTTAAATCGTAGTCTGTGATACAAAATCTGAAAGTTGGTCGGTAGTTTTATACCTCAATAAAGATACAGGCTAACTTATTTTAAACAGAACTACCTTAAAAAAAGACCTTCCCATACTGATTAAGGGAAGCTCTATATTGATTCCTTTATTTGTTTGATTTTAAAATAATTCTAGGTAAGAATGGAGTGCCAGTGGCTGAAAACTTCCGACTGGAACAAAGTACAATAGCAGATATGATCCAAGCAGGACAAGTGCGTGTTAGAACACTTTATCTCTCTGTGGACCCTTACATGGTAGGTGATGGACTGACAGCTAAGCCAGAATTTGTTTTTAAAATATCTTCGTCTCTGTACCTGTCATGATGTTTAACACCAAAGTTACCAATTATACGACAAATGTATCTCTAGCATAACTTAGTAATTATATTCATTCTGATGGAGTTACATTGGGAAGGAATTTGGCATTAATGTGCCTGTGATATATATAGGAATATGACTTTATAGGACCAGGAAGAGACTGTAAGCCCTGGTATACCATTACAGAATTGTTTGTATCAGCTTTTTCTGTACTTTGCCTTTTTTTATATACTTTTTTAAACTTTTTTTTTTCTGTGGAAGGAAGTACTTTTCAATTGAGGGGAGTGTGGGTAGAGGAGGAAGAATATTTCATGACGAAGCAAGAGAGGGACACGATCAGGCCAAACATTTCCAGACAAAACACGTAAATGATTCAAGTTAAATGTTATTTAGCTATTACCAGTTTTGTTTACAAATGAAAGTCAGATTTTCTCCTTAAGTGGGTGACGGCAGGACAAAAATGTGTCAATACTTTGTAAACGGTGGAAACAGAGGGAGGATTAGTGAATGAAGCCATAACCAGCACTTGCATCTAATTCTGCAAAACTGTAGAAATCCTGTAGTTGGGAGAGTTGTGGGTTGAAATAGAAGTGAAGGTAGGAGAACCAGACAGACCCAGTCTGCTAGTATGTAAGTTTGCTATAAAGAGAATTCTGATCATTTGTTCCCTGCACAGATGGAGATAGTAGAAAAGAAAGTCTTAATTTCAGAAAAGTAGGTTTAGCTTGGGAATTAAGGAAAAGTTTAAGAATCCTGAAGTACCAACTCAGGCTACAGGGGGAGATATAAAGGAAAGACTTCAGACTTCAAGATGTTTCATTAAACAGATCTCTGTCAGGGATGGTCTAAATATATTTGACTGTTCTTCAGTGCATAGGCATGGACTAAATGACTTGCGGGTGTTTTTTTCGAGCCTACATTTCTATTATTCACCCAGTTAAGGAATGGCATTTATAGGATTCTCATCAGATCCAAGCCGGTCGTCTTTGGTTGCACGGCTGACTTTGAGGCAGCGTCTATAGGAGGTGTTGGTTTTGGTAACACTGCTGGAGGAGATCAGAATGGTCCTTTTGTACTGAGCAAACAAGAGGGGAAAGAAGGATCTAAGAAATGATGATAAATATTTGGGGCTTATTGAGAGATTTTTGAGTATTTGAAGTTTTAAACATACCTCGTCCCCAACTTGAACTCATAAACGAACCATGTGTTCCACCAGAGCCTTTCATTAAAGCCTTGTCTTTCAGCGCTGCCGAATGAATGAGGATACAGGCTCAGATTACCTCCTGCCCTGGCAGCTGTCTGAAGTTGCTGACGGTGGGGGCATTGGGGTTGTGGAGGAGAGCAAGCACGATAACCTTGCTAAAGGAGACTTTGTAACATCCTTCAGCTGGCCCTGGCAGACAGTGGCCATTCTAGATGGAAGCTTGCTACAAAAGGTAATGCAAATGCAAGGACCAGATTGTCACTGTTCTCTTTTCCTAAACCTTTTTTTCTTTTTAAATAGTGGCTAACTTCTTATGAAGTGACTTTGTTTAAAAACTTTTTCTAAAACTGTGGAAATATAATCCTTGTTTCATTTTGTATAAACTTGTTATTAAGGTAGACCTAGTTTATAGCTAGCTTGTCCCTACCAGTTGTACCTTGCCTGGTAAATATCCTAAGTTAGCCTTCCATCCTCAGACAATCAAATAGGAAACAGCAAAACCTCACCTTAAAAAGAAATGAACGCCACCGCATGTTTCTGTTTTGTAGCTTGTTCCACAACTTGTCAGTGGACGCCTTTCCTACTTTCTTGGTGCAGCTGGCATCACAGGGCTGACGGCCCTGTTAGGTATAAAGGAGAAAGGACACGTGACTGTGGGTGCAAATCAGACAATGGTGGTGAGCGGAGCAGCCGGTGCCTGCGGCTCTTTGGCCGGCCAGGTAGGTAGGCAGGCTTAAGACATACAAGCTTACTCTGTTACCAAGTTTAGCTTCTGAAACATGCTGGTTAGTAAATGTACAGATAAAATAATTGTAAACGTGAGCACGTATAACTCCATGGGAAAGGCCAGTTTCACAGATTTGGCTCACGCTCTGACTGAGAAAGATTTTAGGTGTGAAACTTAAGTTTCATGAAACTCGGATAGGAGAAAACGGCCCAAGGTGATTACTTGTCACTAGCATAAATAAAGTAGATGGTATAAATACATGTACTTACTATATATTTATATAATAGTCTGCCATTTGAACACAGTCTTTGAGTTGACCGGTGACTTTCATTTTTTTCTATATTAGAAAATAGTCAGTAAAGAAATGTAGTAAACCCTTCTTTGTGTTGTGTTCCATGACATCCTTTGTGTTTTGAGATTTACAGCCCTTTTATCCTCCTCAGCTTTGCAGAACATGTTGCGGTGTGTTTGTGTGTGTGTGTGTGTGCATATCTACAAATGTATATACGCACACACACAATAGATATTAAGCAAGCTTAAGACTTACTGATAAAGAGGAGCTATGAAGAAACAATGCATAAGCAAATCTATGAAGAATGTATTTAAATCAATTATTGTCCAATCTTTTTGGCCTTTTATTAGCTATGTTACGGTACTTGGCAGATGGTGATTTTATACTGCATTTGGCTCTCCGGTACTGCCAGTTGTTGGTGACTCCACAGACTAAACCTCCTGCAGTCAGTGAGTTTGGAAAGATGGCAGATTTCGGTTGTACCTGCCCCTCCTCTCTGTGTGAGGAGGGAATGACAAGAGGCGATTGTGTCACATTAGATGGGAGTGTGCGCTGAACTTTGCTGCTTGGGGTTTAGTGGGATGGGGGGGATAACTGTAACACCCCCTCAGGCCCCCTTCCTCCCACTGGTGCCTTTATGCAGATGAATGATCTAACTTCTCTTTATTGTTTGGGGTTTTTTTTGTTTTGTGTTTTTTTTTAACTCTGCTTCTGCAGATTGGCCGTCTCGAGGGCTGCTCTAGAGTGGTGGGGATCGCTGGCACAGATGAAAAGTGCTCCATTTTGGTCCAAGAAATGGGGTTTGATGCTGCTATCAATTACAAGAAGGGGAATGTGGCAGAGCAGCTACGTGAACTCTGCCCAGGTGGTGTGGATATTTACTTCGATAATGTTGGTGGAGACATCAGTGATACAGTTATAAGTCAGGTGATTATACCAGCTGTCCGGTTTATTCTAGTCATTCTCCAATGCCTGCATGCCCAGCTTTGAATTAATTCATACCGGAGACCAGCCTACAATACAGCAGAGCAGGCTTTCCACTTCATTGATCTAATCCAGGTGCTGATCCTGGTCCTGAGGAGAAATCAGATATTTGAAATCGGTGTCTGTCATTTCGACTAGCCTGGCAGTATAGTAATAGAAACACAATTTTTGCTTCTGGTCTATCACTCCTTTGGCCAGGAGACTTGGTAATATTCTAAAAACCTTGTCTGTCAGTGTAGTAATCTTGTGTTTCGTCAGCTTTGGTTTTCTGGCTTCACAAAAGACCAGCTCTGCTGGGCTTCCATAAAGACTCTTGACCAGCCCTCTTCATTGTTAATGTGAAACTACTCTGTCTCATGGCAGGGAGGCTTTGGTGGCAATGCCATCTTCGGGAGCTCTAAATCACAGCTGTATCCAACTTCTTTGTCCTATTACCCCTCTCCTCCTGACAAAAAGAGCACACAGTAAGATAATAATTTCTTATATTCCTTGTATTTAAGGCCTTTTTAAATTGCACATAGGCTGTATAGCATTTATTTTTCCACTATTGCCCTGCATTTTTCTATTTGAATGTTGTCATAGGTTGAATGGGACTGCCTGCAATTCTCCCACTCTTTTCTAGGAAATATGGCTCTAAATAAGGGTACCCATGTGAAAATTTTGCAATATAATCTATTGCATCTCTGGAAAATTTAGTTTCTGAGACCAAGGAATGTAATTTTTCTCACTTTGTGCTGTCCCAAACAGATGAATCAGAACAGCCATATCATCCTGTGCGGACAGATTTCTCAGTATAACAAAGATGTGCCTTATCCTCCTCCGCTGCCTCCCGACATAGAAAAAATACAGAAAGAGAGGAACATCACAAGGTACATTTCTCCTCCAGAACTTGTGACCAGGTTCCAGATAGATTGTGTACATGATATTGTGACTCTGATGTTCAGAAGGTGGTCTGTAGATCCGCAGTAGGCACGTGTATTCAGAACAGAACTTTGCCATACAAAAAAGGAAACTATAATCACAACGTCAGTAGATCCCTTTTCTTACATTTGTCTGTATCAGCATAAAAAATGGGAAAGGATGTTGTTACATGTTAACATAGATGTCTGTTGTTACGCTTTGTTTGTGGTTGCTTGATCCAGTCCTGGAGTCTCTGACAGATTGTTTAGTACGAGGGAAGGTGTTGCTGTGGTTCTGTTCTCAGATGTTTTGCAGAGTGCCTTCTCTGCCAGTGTAGTAGTTCAGGCAGAGAGAAAATCAAATATTTTTAAAGTAAGGATGCAGCTGATGCAGTGACTGTATTGAAATTACATTTTTAGTATTTGGGGTTTTATTAGATAATGGGACTGTAGGTGTGACAGGTATATACAGGTAAAACGATTTTTGTCATGACTCTGGGAATTGCTGAATCTCCTGTCAGGATTCAGGTGGAGCTAAGTTTTAGGAGGTTTTTTCATTCATTGCATTGCAGAAAGTTGGGGAGACTTTTGATTTCTGTGCAAATTGACATCTTCTAATTAAAATTCTTTTCTTGTCCCTGTTACTGTTGTCCGCACTCTTAAAAAATGGATAAAAATACTAAAATACAGCATGTGTAGTAGAAGGCAGTGGAGAATTTAGTCAGTACATTGCTACAAGTAATTAACTGTTTTTGATGATCGTTTCAGTTTCTCTTGACAGCAGGATATGCAAAATTTTGGGGAGCCTGAAAGTTAGTTTATACTCGCCATCTAGTTGCAGGTCCATTAATTATTCTCCCTACCACAAAAAAAAGGTAAAAAAGAATAGGAATTCACTCGCATTTTACGGATGTTTGCTTATTCTGGCAATACGACTTGATTTTTATTACTCTTCTCTCTGATACTTGAACAGAATTACCTGTCTAAGACCAATGTTACTGTCAAGCTCCCACTGCAGGGAGCTGTCTCAACAAGCTGGCAAAGCTCTGAGCTGTGTCTCACTGTAATTAGTACTCATAATCCTTCCGTTTCAATAATGCTGTTTCCTGAAAAGATTTGTAAAGGTTTCAAAATATGCTTACCAACCTTTCTTAAATCAAGGCTCATTCTTTTCTTTCACAGGGAAAGATTCTTAGTGTTGAACTATATGGACAAACAAGAAGCTAGTATATTACAACTCTGTCAGTGGATCCAAGAGGGTAAACTGAAGGTAGGAACTTTTAGTTCTAATCTACGGCCTCTGATACTACCTCCTCAGATCATGGTCTGACTACAAGAAGTCCGATTTGTTTGCCGTTGGTTCTCTTACCATGCCTCAGCATTGAACAGATTTTATGAATGTTTAAGTATACTTGAAAACTTATTAGGTAGCACTGTTTTAGTAGATACCTGCTGAGGATGATGTGACTGTAGTATGACAGACTTTTCTAATTACATGCTGCTGATGTCTGTATTTCTTTCAGTATAGAGTGCAAGTGATTTTTACTTAAGGGATCAGTCCTTCAAAAATACTTACTTTTGAATTCCTGATTAGTTAGTGTCCTGAATGCTTTTGGGGATTTTGCCTGAAATTTTGTTTCAAGCTTATTATTTTGTGATGGGTAGATGCTTTATCCATCCCTTCCCTGTGAGGTCTGTCTAAATTAGTTTTTGATTCTTCAGGTGATTTGCTCCTGGGAAAATCCTGAGACGTGAAATTTTGGCAGGGGCAGGGATGTTCCAGTTCTGATTGAAGCATTAAATTGCCTACAGGTTTATCAGAAAGTATTCCTTCCTCTCTTGATGAAAGAATCTGGCCCAAACAGAGCTTTGTCCATTGTAGCAAGAGAATCCTTTAGATCTGGTAGTTTCTGTGGCAGTTTTATGGCATGTTTCTAGGAAAAGTTAATCTTGTTTGAAGAAACCTAAAAGGACTTGTTTGCATTGACAGGTCAGAGAGACCATGGTAGAAGGCTTAGCAAACATTGGTGGTAAGATTTTTAAACCATTTTCTAAGAAAAATAATCTGATTAAATACAACGACAGTAGAGGTTAATGACCTCCTTTTTTTCATTTGCCAATTCAGATTTTTGTATTTTATCTAAAACATGATTTCTATGTTATAATAAAAAAATATTTTTTCACAAGGTATTAAAAAGTTCTGTGAGAATATTATTTTATGTTAGAAAAACCCTATTGAATATAAATTTTGAGGGTTTTTTTTTGTTTGTTTTACTACTGGGGGGGGATGAATTGTTAAACTGTTACCTTAGCAGCTGATGGTAGCCACCCTGATCTTACAGAGTTACTGGCCATTTCTTAGAACTTGTGTGTAAGAAAATGGTATTTTGGAAACCTTGAACTTATGCTTTAAAAAAACCAATCTCTAACAGTGCTTGTTATTGGATTTGCTAACGAAAAATAAATTGAAAAGTACACACAAGAAAGGGGAAAGCATATTAGAGACTGCTAAACAAAGTAAAAAATAATTTCTTTTAAAGGAACAAAATAGCCTGTAGCTTGTTCAAAAAATCTGTAACAAGAAAATACAAAAATGAAGGGGGCCTTGTGACTCCAGCGAGACAAAGCTAGAGAGCCAGGTGATTCCAGGTATGCTGTAAGAATGCTTCCCTTTCAAGTAAAAGGGAAGAGTATGATTTAGTCCATTTAGTCTTTAGTCCCACAAGATTGGAAACCAGTAGAATTAAGCGATAGCCAAATCTTACAGATTTAAATTTATTCTAGTCATTGCTACTTACTGGTATACATATGTATTTTGAAGGAATTTGTTCAAATACAGCAGTCATATTTCATACTTTGTTTACTCAAAGATTTATTCTTTTGCACCAGTTTCTGACATTTATTGCACTACATAGAGTATTTATAAACCTTTTCCTTTCACAAAGGCTTGTGAAACCCACAGCATTTGTGGGCTCTCCAGTCACACCTTGTCTTTCTGTTTGGTATTTGTATGGCATATCACAAAAGCAGCAAACGTAATTGTTAAAACAGTTGCTTACAAATGAGTTTTTTTAATTATTACACAAAACTGCCCTTACCGGTTTATTACAGACTAGCTTTTTTTTCCCCTTCTTAATTTGGGGAGCTGTTTAATACATTTGCTTCTACCATTTTTTTGTCTTTTTTGAAAGTTACTTGGCACATTTTGCTTGGCACTAACCTGTTTCATTATTTCTCTTGAAGCCGCTTTCCAGTCCATGATGAATGGAGGCAATATTGGAAAACAGATCGTCTCAGTTTCTAAGTAGAAGTTATTGCTTCGGGCAAAATAATTGGATTCTATCTCTAATAGTGAGCAAGTTTTTAATTCTACTGATTTCCATTTTCTTAAATAAACCATTAAGTTGTTCTGTATGTACTGAAAGCAGAGATTCTGGGATGTTAAGGCAGAACCTGTGCTAATAAACTAAATAGAACTGGAAACCCGAATGCAATCATTTATACTAGAAATGAGTAGTATATTCTTTGACATGATTTTGACAGTTGCCAGCTAGCACACTTGCAAATATTTCATGGTATGGTTTGGAAGTTAGAACATTCTGGGAACCATTTCCAATAAGCAATTTATATGCAGCCACCTAGTTTTGGTCGTTAGAAGAATTTACTAGTGTAGATGTGCACCATTCTCATGCTAGTTTGTCTCTGTGCCCAGGAACTTCTCTAGGAATTTTTAATTTACTAGTGTAAGTTTAACGTGATGGTCCAATCAGTCTGGCTAATCATTGTAGAATGTAACTGTTCTCATTTTTACAGATAATTGCAATGAAAAATTCCATTTCTGGAATTCAAGGTCTAATAACAAAGGTATTTCCATTTTGCCATCTGGAACAAATTTCCACTGATCTGTCTTGTGCATTTCTCTGTATTGTATCATTATATCCCCTATTTTCAGAGCACTTGAAACCTAATTAATTTACAATTCTATCTGCATGCAACCTGAGACTTTCATCAGAGATAGGTTCAGGTGTAGGGTGAGCCTCCTGCTTAACTGTTCATTTATTTTCTCTTCTCAGTCTTTGCATTCCAGACTTAAGTGAAGTTTTCTTTTTAGAATTCCTTTTCTAAAATCTACTGTATCTTATTTTTATGATAATCTCCCCGATTTCACTAGTTTTTCCGGTTTTTACACCTCTCCAGGGTGACAGACAGGGGACCTAAAAACATGCTGCCTGATGACAGAAGGTAATGTTGCAGACAATTGACCTTCTGTTCCCTCAGTAACTTATCTTGCCTCAGAATTTTTGGTCTAACAATGCTCTTTTAGCATTTCAATGGGGAAACTTGAAAAAATGAGTCACATTTCCAAGTTTGACTAGCATAACCCCAAGCCAAATGAGACTGATGAGATTAAGTATGTGTCTTCAAAGCAAGGAACAGAAAAGGGAACAGATAATTATCTAAAAGACATTAGAATTCCACTACTATGTACATTGAGAGACATTAACACATATATATTTAGAGAATAGGATTGTTCATGACACATTCTGATTTACAGGGGATTGGTTTTGGTTTTAATTTGTTTGCATTTAAGAGAAGGGCTTCCAAACAGCAGGGCCAGCTGAGCTGCCCAGAGAATGGATTATCTAGATCTGCGTGAGTCACTACCTAGGCTCAAACTAAATGGAATCCAAGGGCTAGGAAAGAAACACTATGCAAGAAATTTGGCGTTATAAATCATTTTGCATGCTGTGGAAAGTAAGGCAACGGGTATCAAAATTGCCTAATATGGTTGTGACTAATAGGAAAAACAGTCCTTTCATTTCCTAGTGCTGAAGCTAGCCCTGAAAGAAGGAAGCGTGCAGTGACGGATGCCATAAACTTTGAGGAAGAGAAAGACACCTGCAGTATAGCATTCGATGGTCTAAAATCTTCCAGTACTCATTTTTCAATTACAAAACTAGTGACTGGTTCACTTTCCGCTAGATTGTGAATCCAACATCAGCATAACTAACTCAAGCAGTGTTCATAACAGCGTCACACTGGGATAGAAGCCAAAATTTTTATGCAGTAAAATCAGTACGATCATAGTTGGCAAATGAAGACAGAAAGCAACAGGTGAGTGAAATTCTGTGAATTCCTGCATATTGACTGTTTATAGACGGGAACTCACTTGTGAAAGTTAAGCAATGCGGGCTTGTAAGACTTGATAATTTGTATGTATGTTAAAACGAGAGGCAGGAGGAAATGCAGTGATCCTGAGCACTGTCTCTAGACTTGGATTCCTGTCTTGTCAGCTGGATTTAATGGGGAAGGAGCTGATGGGAATACCTTTCCAAACAGCGGCTCTAATGAGTGTGTTGATGTGTCCATTGTCCCCTTTCCTTTCTTTCTTCCCTCCCACATGCTCCCACATGCCTATGCCTGATACGAATATTCAGATTGAAATGGCATCACTATCACCCTAAACGTTTGTTACCCAATGCACGGGTATTCTGCATTCTGCATTCAGCTTCTGCCTGGCAGCAGATTAGCCTTAATGCACTTTAACACCCTTGATCTTTCTGAATAAACATCCTCATCCTTACAGTTCATTCCTAAAGCAAATATATAAATGCAAAAGAACACAGCCCTCTCCGGGAACATGACCAACCATTAACACTCCACACCCCTGCAGCAAAGCTGATCTTAACCTGAGGCTCCGTTGCTACTGCTGCTGAAAATGGTTACCGATGCAAGAGTATTTTTAGAAATGAGAGTTTTAGTATTGCTGTTGCTGCTGAGTTGGAATAGTACCAGTTTTAATTAGGAACAGAAAGCCCTCCATTGAATTTGGGGTGTTTTTATGTGTGTCTGTCTAATTGTACATAAATATATATGGCGCTTTTCGGGGCATGGTGTCACCATGGTGTTTTCCTATTTTCTTCCACCCTTGAAGACTAACCTCTTCTACACAGAACTTTCAACGTCCTGTAACGTGCATGTCCCTATATTTGGCTTCCTCCAATCTATCAATTTTGTTTCAGTTTCAACAGCCTGTTTTGAGAAAAATGCCTTTTATTCTTAAAACCGAGGACCCTTCTTCTGTTTTAATTCCAGCCTGCTTGGAAGGAAGTATATCATAGGGTAGTATCCAAAGCGAGCTAATTAAATACCTGTATATTTCAAAAGAGACTTGAACTATGAACTGTGTTGAGAGTTTGTGTTGTATGAATGTAAGAAAGCAATCATAACAATAACCACTACTGAAAAGGTGTCAAAACATTGTTTTCCTTTCGTATGTTATAGGTGAAGGTCTCAGTCTGACGTACTTATGTTTCCAGAGTTAATTTGCTTGTCCAAGGTACAAATTTTGTACTTTTGAACACTGTTTGCTGAAGAGCTACTCCAGAGCGAGCTCATCTCTGGCACTGTGAGTTGACACACCTTACAGGAGTAACGGTCCTCTAGGAAGTTATTTTTCACAACTGAAACAAAACATGATAAAAATATAAAATTCCCAGCACTATTATTTTTACAGCAATTGCTTAGTAATCCGCACAAGTCGTAAGCCTATTGAGAGCTGATGATGTGAGGGGTGATCCAGAGTGAGATCATGCTGAGATAGCGATTCTTTACCGTAATAAAGGCATCTTGATTGCAGCAGCATTCCTGTAGTTAGGTAAGCTATGGAGAGCAATATAGGTTCTATCGGCATTAGTCAAATGGCTTTAGGGAAGAGGATGGGGACAGTCAAAGTAAACCTCATCCTGGTACCCCCAACATTTAGGATTCTCACAGAAGCATTTCTTTACTTGTGAATCCTGGCTCATGTTACCTCTTAAGAATAAATAAAAATCAAAGGGAGAAAATGCTTTAAACCAAGTGCCCACATTTGTAAAAAATACTAATACATCTTTTTTTCACCTTGTCTTAATTTCTTAATTATTGTAATAGCGTGACTCTTCAGCAATCATATATTTATTTGACACTGTGGATGTAGTAGACAGTCACTGGCTGCAGAAGCACCAGCATTTGTCCCAAGAAGCTTTACCTTACAGTGATGGTGAGGGATAGTTTATAAGATCTTAAGCAAGGGCAACCATGAATTCAGAGTAGGAGTTGTGTGACCGCAGTAAGGTACTAGAAGTTCAGCTATACAGTCTTTATAATTAAGCATTTCTTGTTGCAAGGGGTAATCAGCCTTGGGCAGAGAGACTTTTTTTTTATTTTTCTTTGAGCCAATCTTCTGCTTGTTTGTATTTGGTAGTTTTATGCACTCCCATTTCCATCCCTTCTCCCTTTGCACCTTGAACAGTTGCTGTTGGCTGTCCTATATTTCATTTTCTTCCCTTCTGCTTTCTTACCCTCCATTTTTTCCCCCCTTTTCCTTAATTTTTTTTTAGTTCATCATGTTCTTATCCTCCTTTTTGTTGGGTTCTTCCTTGAAAATCAGAAAAGCATGCTCTTTCTTTTTCATAGGAGCATCTATTAGTGGTTTAGTGCTAGGCCGTGCAGTTTAGTGTCAGGATTTCACGGAAAATGTCAGCAATACCACGAAAAGAGCTTGCCAGTCCAGACATAAATGTGTCTTACTGCGGTTTATAGTAGCTGTTGTTACAAAAGTGGAGAGAGCGGAGGCAGATACCTTTCAAATAGCTTCATCTCTTTATTCTATATTTTAATGCATTGATTGTGGAAGCAGCAGATGCAGGATTACTTAGTCCTGTTGTTTGTAACATTGCTCTCCCGTATCGCTACGCTGCCTTTCTCCTTACTGGGTTCTTTTCACAGTGGGAAATGTTTATCCGGTCCATAAATAGACTGCCAGGGGATAAAAGAAGATCACAGGCAGATGGCATATCCCGCAAGAAGAAGGGGTAACAGCAGCTGGAATAAGCTCCAAACTGAGAAAATACTTTGTGAGACACAACTGGGAACTCTTCAGAAAAAGCACAGAAAGCAGCAGAAATTAGTCAAGACTTTTTAGCCACAGGAACACAGAATTTTGCAACCAGAAAGATACCTTGGATACCAAAATTCAGTTTTGCTACAGCACTCTACTCTGGGTCGAGTGGTGGTAAGAGGGTGGCTGAACGGGTCAGCAGTATTGAAAGAACACTGAAAGTATGAAATAGCAAAGCGGTGTTTATGCAAGAATAGGGAGGTGCAATTTATAGGAGACCGTCTGAGGGCAAACAGTGAGAGAAGGCGGTAAGGTTTTATGAGGCTATGGGTCTACCCTCCTCTGCTCCACCCTCTTCTTGGACTGGCTTCTCTGTATCTCTGAGGCCTTCCCTCAGTCCCTACTCCTCTGCAGGAAGGAGCCTTCCTCACCCCATCAGCCCCTGCTTGCTTTCCTTTGCCTCCCAGGCTGGGGAATGTGGGAAGGGAAAGTAAAGGGCCGAGGACCAGGCTCTGATGGGGTGAAGTTCAGACAGGAGCCAGCACGGTTGGACTTTCTCCTGGTTCTGGGGGCGACCCGGGGAGGGCAGGACACTGT